AAAAAACACTGTGGGCTACACTGGGGCTGCTTCCACCTCCAGGGCACACCTCCCATAGATCCTCCCCAAGCAAAAAGTGAGCACTTGGGAGAGTTTAGCCTACAACCAAAATGCATAGCAAATTTCATTTTGAGACTGAAAATAGAGATTTACAGACAGAAATAAGAAGACTATTCTGTATTTTCAATACAGAAAAGTAAAGTACAACAAGCACCTTTGTTTAATGAAATATATGTTAGACAATTTGGGTTTCTTTTGCTTTGATATATTGAGAGATTTGTGAAATATATAAACAGAATATAGAAAAATCTTTGTCTCAGAGCTTTGGAAACAATGGGGTCTCTATAACTAACTTGTTCACACTTTACTGAGCAGTTGCCTTTAAGGCAGTATTGGTCTACTTTAAACAAAACAGATTTGCATTTTGAGCCTCCAGTAATCTCATCTAGTAAAACAATTTTTAAAAAAAGTGTACTGGTATTTCAGTTTCTCCTATGATGTCTGTAACTGGATGTGATGTGATACTTCTAATCACAAATTGTTTTTTCCAGCCTCACCATTTCCTTTTGTTCTGTTTGCTCTATTTACCACCACAAGAGGTCTGTTTTGGTAACAAGGCTAATTTGTTTATTCAGCTCAAGCGGGACAAAAAAATCCACACACTTGTTGATTGCAGAAACTTGGGCACCAAATCCAAAATGCAAATTGTGTTGTGCTTCACTGGGGAAAGGGGTGACAACAGCTGTGCCAGCTCAAAGCAGCCTGTTCTCAAGCATATTATGAGAAGGATAACCATTCTGTGGCAATGATAGCTTAAATCTCTTCCATTCCAATTCAAACAAAATGAGGAGAAATAGAGATGTATTCAATGGCACAGAGTGGGAGAAGTGGTTTTTGGCTCTGGCCATGAAAGGCCATCCTAATGGAAACTGCTCTGGATTTCTCTTTGGAACAGCTGCAAGGCAGTTATTTAAACATACTCATTTGCTTCGAGTATTTGGCTAGTAGGATCCACTGCTGGCAAAAGCAGAGAGAATGATGAATTTTTTTTTTTTGTTGCTTTCTTGTTTAAGCATTTCTGAGGCACTGTTGGAAGTCCCTGGTTCATTAAGTAACTTGAGCTCAAATCATTACTTCTTCAAAGCTTTTACTGCAGAATTCATCTCATGCCATTCATAAAGAGAGAAAATACTAATTACTTCAGAGAATACTTTCATCAGTATGGGTCACCACTTGTGATGTTTCTTTTTTTTGCAAACAGCAAAGCCCTCTGGGATGCTAAACACTTCTTACAGAATTACTTAACTTTGTTTAATGCATCATCAGACTAGCCAGGTTTCTGTGGAATCACTTTACTTATCCATATTTGAGATATGAAGTCATAACATGTATACAAAACATCGTCAAATTAAAAATCATAAATTCCTGTTACATTTTGTTTCTCTCTCTTTAAGACCAGAATAGTTTATCTAATCAGAAGTCACTAGATTGTGATTTACTGTGATTAATTTGAGATCTTTTATGCCTTACAATGAAATCCTGTGGCAAAAAGCTCAAAGCATATTTGGGAAATTTTTTGTTTCATTGACTTCTTTGACATTTTGTGAATGCTATCCCCTAGCTATTTTCTGTTTCAGATCACAGCTACGGACAGGTAAACTACCTTAGAACTTTACTTATCCTTCATCTTTACACATGACCAGGATGCCTCTGCTCTTACTCACCACTTCTTGTGTCTGGTAACACGATACTGGGTGAGGAAAAGAAGAGGGGAGATGTGAATAAATTAGTGTGGTGGGAGGGTATGAAGAAACACTAGTGTGGCAAATGCATTGCTTCAACAGAGGGTTGTAGAGCAGCACCAGAAGCAGGCCCTGTGTTGACACACTAGCGGTAAGAATATTTAAGACAGTATTAGCAATTTCACATCTGGTACCCAGAAGTGACTTTCAAAAACTTTTGCAAAATGTGAGCCTTTTGTTACCTGACTCAGAGGACAAATCTTGGGAAAATGCCATTTGCTACTAAATTAACAGGAACTTCTCTTATTGCGGTGCCACAATGAGCAGCTGTACGATTGAAGTCCAAGCAAAAACCTATCAGAAGAAGCTCTGGTTTAAAAAAAAGGTCCTGCTGAGGTCTCTGAGATTCTCTCCCAGGGGAAATAAGCTTGTTTGCCTGGTAAAGTTAAAGGACTGATGATAAGCAGAGGAGTATTTATTACTGCAATGTGTAAAGATGTATGCCTATACATATATAGGTATGCAAAATAAGTAGTACTTACTTCTGAGCTTAAATTGACTAAATGTGAAGGAAGCCAACTATGCTGGCAATGCCAAAGGAAAGTTTAAAGATAAGGATAAAAAATAAAGAAAATTAAAAGTAAAGTCACAAAAGTCTTCTTTTGCAACTAAGATGCTGTCTAGCTCATGCAAAAAGCATGCAAGGTTATTTCCAAGTTTAAAAAAAATCCTTCCTTAAAACACTAGTCTCTAAATTACTTCTGCAGCACACCATGGCACCTCCTCAATTCCAAAAAGCAAAATAATGTCCTCTGGGGGAAAAAAAATTTTAGTCGATGTTGTTTTCTAAACTGTATCCAAAAATTCATTACAAACATGAAAGGCAAAAGCTGCCCATGCAGTCCAAGTATGAAAAGTGCTTTACTTCAATATTTAATCTAGTAATTGTCTCTTAACATACGTATTTCACTATGTCCTTGTCTGTTAAAAAGGTCTTCCTTACTCTCAGAAACATATAGATGGCTCCCAGCAGATTGTCTGGAGATGCTTGGAGATATTTATATACAATTGAAGACTTTTATAAACTGTTATATCCACAATGATTTACTGAAATCTGTGGGAATTCATGTAATCATTTAAGTCTTCTTGTACAGATACCAATTTTGAGCCTACTTTTGCAACATGAGGATGAGAGTGGTATTTTTTCTACCACAATCTCCTACACTGAGATACCAGTCTTTCCTCTGCTTCTTGTTGTCATTTATTTTTGGCTCCCAAGTCAAATCTCATTGAAGCAGTTTCTAAAACTTGAGTGTGGAGAGAGACCTCTATATTACTAATCAATGACCACAACCACCTATTTATTTCTAGTCTTTGGCCTAGTGATCTAAGTCCAGGCAGAATTTATTCAGTGAAAACTCTCTGTAGGCCCAGGATACCTGCATTTATAGAACACAATAGAAAGGTGACCATGCTGATCATCAAGTCCCTTACAAGTGATAGCTTTTCTTCTGCTCATTCTCACACTACAGCTGCTCTTATTCTCCTTTTGAGAAGGCATTTGTCCTGAACAACAATCCTTAGATGCATGCAAATATGAAACATGCTGCAGTCGAGCAAACTACATGAGTGAAATCTCCTTGGAATAGAGGGTGGTGGATGGGTTTCCAAAATGGTGAGGGCTGGCAAGTTAACTACATTGGACCACTGCCACAAACACACCAAAGCAAGAGCTACATACTCACCGTGGCAGAGGCAACAACTGTCTGGCTGCAAGCATGCCCTGTAAACCATTTCTACACCTTGGTATGCCATCTCAGACCTTGAGAGACACATTTTGTAGCAACATGGTACACCAGAGGGAATTGAATCAGACAATGGCACTCATTTTCAAAATAACCTCAGAAAGTCTCAGGCAGAGAAACACAGCATTGAATGGATACATCACATCCTTTATTGCCCATGAGCCTCTGGGAAGATTCAGAGGTATATGAACTGCTGAAAACCATATTAAGACCATTAGGTAAATAGGGCATGGAAGCACTGGGATGCAAATTTAGCAGAAGCCATTTGGCTGGTAAACACTAAGGGATCTGCTGACTGCCCTCGCCCTAGCCAAACAAAATCCCTTCACACTGTGGGAGGAGATATGGTCCCTGCAACACATAGGGAAGTGGGTGGGGAAGTCAGTGTGGGTTTCTCCACCCACTAAGACGAATCCATTTGTGGGCTTGTCTTTGCCCCAATGATCTAGATGTACTTGGTGGGTAATGACTTGGTGGGTAATGTGGAAGGATGAGGCGACATGGTGTGTGCCTCAAGGAGATTTAATCCTGGTGGAAAAAATATTCTGTGGTGTAAATTGTATGTTGCAGGAAGTAAAATAGCAGGAGTGACATTAACTGATAAAGAATGAATTTTGTGAGGAGCAAGGAGAATGCAATGACCAGGCCAGGCTGGTGTTGGTGCTCAGTGATCCAGTATACCATTGGGTCCTGTCCTGACCACTCATCCGATGGACTGGAGATCTGGAGGGATGAAGCCCATGAAACAGGAAAATAATAATAGGTATCTGTCAAAGAGCAGGGGACAGTAGTTAATGAAAATGTATGTTTGGTAGAGAGATAGTTTAAGGATGTAGTTTAAGGTGTGTGTGTGGGTAAGAAGGGGTTCCAGTAATGAGAAATAAATACAAAGGAACAGTCAGAAGGTACATTATTTATGTGGGATCTGAGTGCGACATAAATGGTATGGAATAAGGGGTGGAGATTACAATGAGTCTGGCTGAGCAGGAGGTCATTTCCCCTTAACAGCTCCCACAGTGCTGCTGCACTTTGCCCTGATAATTGGAAAGGTGCTGATAACACACCGGTGTTCTGGCTATTGCTGAGCAGCACTGGCACAGCATCAGCGCTGCCTCTCCAACATTCCTCCCTCCATCCTGGGGGTGGGGGTGGGAAAGATCCTGGGAGAGGACACAACCAGGCCAGCTGACCCAAACTGACCAAAGCCATACCCTGTGGCATATGATGTCAGCTCAGATATAAAAGCTACAAATAGTACTATAACACAGCAGTGTCATGTCTCAAAGTGTAACAACACCCTTAGTAAGTGATGAGTGTCTTTAATATAGTATTTCCAGAAAACTCCCTGATTACTCAAAATGAGACAGAGAGGAGAAAAAGCGAGGATTCCATGAGGAAATGAAAAAGAGGTTGAATCAGTTCACCTGCTAGAGTTTCACTGTGGTGTACTCACCTCAATCACCTCAGGCTGGGACATCATGGACGATGGCACCAAATCGGTGGGGATATCCATGGTAGCTCAAAATGCCCTTGCTGCTCTCCTTGCACTGTTCCTCTGCACCAGCAAGCTTTTGGTAGGAACACAGAAGCCCTTCCTCAGACTGCAGTCATACTGATATTTACTCCTAACAGGAAAGAAAAAAAACCTGTTGAGAATAACAAGAGAACTGGGTAGCCAGCCAATACCCAAGATCCTGGGCTGCTGCAAAACTAGTCTGGGTTTGTACAGCCCCACTTGCTGACATGACCGCTCACAACAGATTTGCCGAGAAGTCTCAAAAGGTGTACTGGAATTTGATCCAGAATAGGAAAAAAAAATCACTTGACAACACAAACTAGACTCACACTGAAATCAAACTGAAACCAGCAAGAAGGCTAACACACAGATTGCTTTGGCTTTGCAAGAAAATATGGTTACCTACAGAACACTGGAACTGTGTTGACAGCCCCCCTCCCAACAAAAGGATAAATAAAATCTCCACAAAAGAGTATTCACAGAATTACTCACTGGACTTCAGAATACATTTATTCCCTCAGTTCATGATCACGTGAACTTTCTTTGTTAAGAAAAACAGGTTACACGTTGTGACTTAAAAATATGACAGCCTTTTTTCCCAGGTAGCCACAGATGTGCAGTACATGAATAAATCAAACTGTAAAATTTGCTCAGCTGATTCAACAGAATGAAGTTATCTCCATAGCTATCATGTTTATCAAGGTCAGTTTAGCTTCCATATGTATGTTGTTTTCTTGTGTGCAAAGAAAACAAACTAACAAAGAGGTGGAGGGGGAAACCCCTGTAAATGTCCATGATAAAAATTCCATTTAAAAATTCTAGACTAAGACAACTGCTGGCTTTTTCCCTTAGTGAGACCAGACATGTACAACACAACCCACAAATTAGTCACCACAGAAAGGATTTTGGAGAGACACATATTGCTGTCTTCATCTGTCACTTCCTATTCTGCAAGTCATGGCAGAAATCTACTCATGCAAAGTGTAATCAACATCCAATAAACATATCAAAAATTACTCCAAGCTTCTGTGGCATTTTTCAAACTGAGGACATGCTATAGTTACACAGACAATGCCAGTAACTTTCCTGGCTATAAGTTCATTTTTTCAAAGGCAACACTTAGCAAGCCAAGAAAGAACAGATAAGTGCTGTAGGAAAGTTATGCTCCACATGCTTTTCTGATTCAGTTATGTCTTTGTTTTTGGTCTTGTTAATTTAAACTCAGCCTTTGCACGCCACCATGGAAATTATTCCTCCTTCTTAAAAAGCATAATCTTGAAATGCCTGCTTCACATTTCAACACATCCCTACATGCCTTACGTCACATGTAGCAGTCTCATCTTCCAAGCTCTAGGATCACTTTTTCCATTTTTATATAGCTTTCCAGTGACCCCTATTCTTTCCTACTCAGTTCTGGCTAGTAACCTTTCATTCTTTCCACTCCGTACTCCAAATTTCTTCTCCTATACTCATGGGGAGGGCAGAAAATGGAGCTGCAGCATCTCTCCAAGATAGTCTTCACAAAGTAAAAGAACAAACACAGCCTTCAGGTTTCCTGTTTTCTTTAAAAAATGAGAGTTGAACTAATTTTTCTATGGACAGATGAGGGAAATCTATAGCATCAGCTTGGAATTCTGACTTAGGGAAGCTTCTGCAACTTGACAGTCATTTTCAGTAAAGCTCCATCAACAGCCTGAAATCCTCAACCAACATATCTCATCAATGTCTTGTGAGCTGTTGCAACTGTAACTTAAATATGATCTCAGAAGACATTTTTTCTGTTCTTCTCATGGCATGCTTAAAAGCAGCAGTTTCAGTGCACCTACTTTACAACAGTCATTGTTAGTTTATTTTAAAATCTTTTTTTCTTAATTCTGAAATACTGCCACTTTTGGATAATGAAGATGGGGAAAAAAATTACAGTTAAAGCTGACTTTAGAGAATACTGCCTGAACCAAAACCAAAGGTATGCTTAAAATTCTGTCAAACAAAAAGGCGAGAAAACAAACATTTTTACTACCAAGCATCATAAAGAAAAAAAAAGTGAAAAACTAAGAAAAAAAAATCTGAAGTCTGTTCAGCTCATAGTGTAAAGTACTAATTGATCCCAGATGAATAGGTCCTGTAAACTCATCAAAGAAAATAAAGCATTTGAACACCATGTAAAAAAGGTGAGAAAGTAAGAAAAAGATCTCACACAAATGTCACACTTCCGGATGTCGCATCTGAATTTTTTCCATCTGAAAGTATTCATTTGGCATCACTTGTCTCTGGCAGCCTTCACTGAACAATTCTGCTTGCAATTAATTCATTCAACTCACAAATAAATGCATCACTCCACCATGGCAGCCTTACCAGTCACAAAGGAAAACTAATGCCATCCAGGGAAGAGCAACAGCAATGACTTGTCCTGCCTAGCATTTCATTTTACTACTTGTTGAATTGATAGGTAGCACAACAGGTGTTTTTCTGCTGTCTCAAGTTGAGATAAGACCAATTTACTGGAAACAGCAATGAGATAAGAATACAAACAGTAACAGCAACAATATTAATAACATAAGTATACATACAGAAGGTGATTTACATGCAGGAGTGCTCAAAGACGAACCCGGTAGCATGCTGCCCCTAAGATGATGAACCATACACAGACCCTTTATACCCATGTTTTTCCTCCTGACTGCAAGCCCCTCCTGTTTCATGGAAGCAAAATTCCCTTACTTCCAGCCCTCTGTAGTGACCTTTGGGGCATAGAACAACCACCTAGGCACGCCCACAGGGCTCCAGAATCTGACCCCTCGCGGCTACTGTGAGAAAATTAATTCTGTCCTGGCCAAAAAAACAAGCACTATCCACCCCTTAGGCTATGCCATCTACATCATGCCCCAATCCTACACCTTCCAACTTTACACACATACGTATACAGATACACACAAACACAGGTATCATTTCCACAGTCAGTGGCTGTCCCTCCAAGATGTCTGTTGTGTTCATTTAGTCCATGACTGTGGGCTCTATGAGGAGCTCACAACTAATGTATCTGGAGCATCCATACTCATTGTCCTTGGTAGTTATGGCATATAGTGGCGTCATTCAGCAACCAACATTACAGACTCTTCTCACCCAAAAAGCAAATCCTTTTGAGGTAGACACCATTGTTCCCCACCCCTCTGCATTATCCAAGTGCACTCAGTCCTTGAACAAAAACAATCCCATGGATGGGTTTGCCTTTTCTTGAGGAAGCACTAGTCCAAATTGTCTTCCCTTACACATTTCTCATATCCACCACAGCAACTTTATCCCCTTCCACAGTACGTGAAGGTTTGTATTGGGCAGGGCCAGCTCAAATAGTAGAGCCTCTAGTACAAGAGTCTCTAGTGTTAACTAAACAGGTGGCCTTTGCTAAATGTAGATGCCAATGTTTGAAGGTCCCACTACCCGTTGCTTTCAATGTGGTTTTTGGCAGTCCATTGCACTGCTCAATTTTCACAGAGACTGGTGCATGATAGGGAGGGACTATGATAAACCTACTCAATCCCATGCTCTCTGTGCCAGGTGTCTAATTTTGAAATTACTCCTGTTGTCAGACTTAGTTCTCTGGGGGGTACCATAACTCCAAAGGACTTGCTTTTCCAGGCCCAGGATGGTGTTCTGGGCAGTAGTGTGAGGCACAGGGTAGGCCTCCAGCCATACAGTGGTGGCTTCCACCATGGCCAGCACATAGTGCTTGCCTTGGCTTGTCTGGGGCAGTGTGATGTAGTCAATCTGCCAGGCCTCCCTGTACTTGTACTACCGCCCACCATACCATACCTCGTGGCCTGCTTGATCTCAGCATGTCTCACAGTCATGGATAACTTGGGAGATACTGCCATGGTTAGATCCACCCCTAGATCACAAGCTCAACTGTGTGCTGCATCTCTTCTCTGATGATCAGAAGTATTATGGGCCCACTGAGCCAGAAGTAATTCTTGTTGCCAATCCAGATCCACCTGAGACACTTCAATCTTGGCAGTTCATCCAATTGTCTGCTATTGCAAGTTCTTCACAAGCCTGACTCTTGGGTGCATGAATCTACAGCACACACTTTTACAGCAACTCCTCTACCCAGACAGAGGTGTCTTACCACAATTCAGAAGCCTAGATGTGTTTCCCTCTGTGCTGCCAGCTGTCTTTCTTCCATCCTTCCAGCTGTCCCCACAGAGCATTTGCCACCATCCATGAGTCAGTGCAGAGACTGAGCACTGGCCACTTCTCTCATTCAGTGATATCCAAAGCCAGCTGGACACCTTCAAGCTCTGCAACTTGACTTGATCCAGCTTTTCCATCAACAGCTTCACAGCTTGCCATACAGGACTCCACAGAGCAGATTTCATTTTTGACATATCCATAAGATATGGCACAAATTGTCAATAAAGAGAGAATATAGCCTCCCATCTTCAGGTAGCTGATAATATGGTAAGGTCTCCTCAGCACATCACCACTATCTTCTCATCTCCTCCTCCGCTTCTGATGATAATCTGAAATTTTTGTTTTTGTACCAGTCCATGATTACTTCTGGTGATTTGGATTTCCTATTTGATCTTGCTGTATGATCAAGCGCAACCAACTTATTCCACATGGCATCAGTGGCATGAGGTCTGGAAGGGACTTTCCCTTTGAATATCCAGCCCAGTACTGGGCAGCCAGGGTGCCAGGAGGAGCTATACTTTGGCGCCAATCACTTCTGAAGCACATGATCTCCTTCATGAGCTTCAAAAGCAGATATGCTTTTTCAGCCAGGGTGTAAGATGCCTTGGATCCTTTGTATCACTGACTTCAGAACCCCATGGGTTGTCCTTGAGTCTCTCCAGGTACTTCTTGTGAGAGATTCCAGGAAGGTCCATTCTCCCTGGCTGCAGTGTAGCACACACTTTTTACATCCTGTCTCATCCTGACTGGCCCAAGGGCTACTGCATGAACAATCAATTGTTTAGTTTGTCCAAAAAATTGTCAAAAAATTTTTCTACGTCACCTGATAGAGAGGGCTTACAATCTGACTCTAGTCTAGAATATGGATCCTCAAAAAAAATGAAATGACTAAGAAAGTTTGTGCTTCCTTCTTGCTGCCTAGTG